ATCTCGCGCATCTCGTCCCAACTCTGCCAAGTTGCTTCCTCGCTCGGTAAATCCTCCCATTCGACGAGCACTTCCAAAAAATATTTTCCAGCCTTTTTGACTTGCCGATACTCTACCGCACGGCTCGGCCGCACCATAACCTGCCCGTCCGGCGCGACCGCGGGTAGTCGATCCTTTGCCGCATGCGCTTCGCCGAGTCGTTGCTTGAGTTGTGAGACGTGCATGACCGGATGGATATGGGAATCGTCCGGCAACTCAAGTCGATAAGCAACCTTCCCAACCTTGGCCAAAATTTTATAAGGCCCGTAATATCAAACTCCGAGTTTGGTCGCGGCCCTTTGCGCGGCCGTCCTTTGCCGAAAAGGCCTCAACTTCAAGTATACCCAATCCCCGGGCTCAAATTCTACGTCGCGCCGCTTGCCATCATGGTACGCTTTCATCCTATTGATCGAGCCCTCCAACGTCCGCTTTAGCTCGCGCAACATCAAGTCACGCTCGACCAACTATCGATCGACCTCATCGTTCACGGTGCTCCCCATCGAGTAACTCACGATCGTCGGCGGTTTGCGCCCGTACACCAACTCGAACGGCGTTGCCTTAGTCGAGCTATGGTAAGTGGTGTTATACCAATACTCGGCCCAAGGTAAATAATTCTCCCATTGCTTTGAAAATTGATGCAGATAGCACCTAAGGTACTTCTCGAGCATACGATTGGTCACCTCTGTCTGTCCGTCGGTTTGTGGATGATAAGCTGAGCTCATGCTTAGCTCGGTTCCCTGAAATTTAAAGAACTCCAACCAAAAGCTACTCATAAATATCCGATCTCGGCCGGACACAATTGACCGCGGCACCCCATGCAATTTCATCACATATTCGACAAATAATTTTGCTATAGACTTAGCCGTGTATGGATGAGTAAGTGGAATAAAATGTGCATACTTGGTAAGACGGTCGACTACCACCATGACTCCATTGAACCCATTCGAGAGTGGCAACCCCTCGATAAAATCCATGGTGATGTCCTCCCAAATACGTGCGGAGACCGGCAAAGGTTGGAGCAGCCCGCCTGGTCGACGTGCATCCGCCTTAGTGCGTTGGCACTCATCACATCGCCCAACGTAATCGCGCACATCGCCCCTCGACCCTGGCCAATAAAAAGTGCTCGCAATCCTCATCCATGTCCGGAACACCCCGGAATGTCCTCCAAACTTTGAGTCGTGGAAGTGCCGTATGATTTCCTCGCGCAACGATCCCGCATCGGGCATAACGACTCGACCATGATAAAGTAGCAAGCCATCGTGCATGTCATGGTCCTCGTCCTCGACGTGTCCTACGTTCAGCTTCTCGATCACGTCCCAGCAATGTGCATCCTCGTCTTGCGCTTTCTGAAGCTCGGCCCAAACGGCCCACGTCGGCCCCGTCACGGCGTCGAGCTCGGC